CCTCCTCCTCCTCCTCCTCCTCCTCCTATCCTCCTCCTCCTCCTCCTCCTCCTCCTCCTCTCCCGTTTCCTCGTCCTCCTCCTCCATTTCCTCCTCCTCCTCCTCCTCCTAGTCCCCCCCACCTTCTAAAGTTGCATGTTTCTCTGATCCCCCCCCTGTGAAGAACAACAACAACGCGAAGCAGATGTTTGCTTTCCTGGGGGGGGGGGGGGGGGCGACGGCGGAAAAAAATCCAACGTCGCCTCTTTTACCCTCACCTCTAGAAGGGTTCCGATCGAAACGCTCCACAGACGGATTGCTATTAAAATCCTCCACGTAATGGTTCCTATTGGGATCACCTGCAGAAGGATTGCTACTGAGATGCTTCGAAAGAACCCCCCCCGCTGGCATTGCAGCGGCATTGGTTCGGCAATGGTTTGGCATTGCGCTGGATTTGTGCTTTGCAGTGCGTGGGCATTGCGCTGGCACTTCGCAAGCATTGCGTTGGCGAATCCTGATGGAATCCTCCACAAAAAGGGCTACCATTGAAACCCACCACAAGAAAGGACTCCGCCCTAAACACTCGACAAAAAGGGCTCATATTGAAATCCTTTACAGGAAAATTGCATGCGAAACCCTCCACTGAAAGATTCCGACTGAAATCTACCACCAAGGAAATCCGCAATTGGCATTGCATTGGCATTGGATTGGGTCGCCTTGGCATTGCGCTGGCATTGCGTTGACACTTCTTTGGCATTGCTCTGTGCTCTGGCATTGCGTTGGCGAGTCCGGTTTACTCACTCCGCAGAAGGAATTCTAATGAAACCCGCCGCAAAACAAGGATTGCGATTGAAACCTGGCACAAAAGATTGCCCACATTGGCATTGCATGGGCATTGGATTGGGATCGCCATGTCATTGGCATTTCGCTGGCAGGTCCTAACCAGACGCTCCACAGGACAATTCTTACTAACCCACCCCAACAAGACGGATTCAGACTCAACTCCCCCAAAGAAGGATTGCAGTCGAAGCCCTTTTCACAAAAAGGAGCTCCTATTGAAATCCTGCGAACAGGGGTTCGCATTGACGTCATCCCATAAGGATTCCCACTGGAAGACATCAAGAGAGGATGCCCCCGCTTGGATCGTGCTGGCATCGCGCTGGAAGTGCGCTGGCACTGCGCTGGCGAGTCCTCGTGCCTCCCTTCGCAGCAGGATTCCTATGGCAGAAAAAAGCTCCTCATCGAAGTCCACCACGGAGGACTGCCCCCAACGGCGTTGCACTGGCATCGGGTTCGGGCCGCCGTGGCGTTGAGTTGAGATTGCGGTGGCACTGCTTGAGCATTGCGCTGGCATTGCGCTGGCGGGTCGTACAGTCGAGGCGTTGACCTAAGGAACCCTGAATAAGGAATGAGGCCCCCTTTTTTCGTAAGTTAAACTTCGACTTCCCATCGAAAACTGAAGGGAAACCTTAGGCGAGGTGTGGAACAATTAAGGAACATCGAGCCCGTCCCTAACGAAAAGGGTTCCTTCTTCAACGCCCCGACTGTAACGCCTGTCGTCGCAAAAAGATTCCTGTTGAAGCCCTCCACAAAACGGGTTCCTGTTGAAATCTGCCACAATGGATTGCCCCCATTGGCATTGTATTGGGGTCGCCCTGGTATCGGCGCGGCATTGTGTTGGCACTGCTTCAGCACTGCGCTGGCGAGTCCGAGCGCCTCCCTTCGCAGAAGGATTCACCTCACATCCCTCAGCACAACAAAAGAATTCCTTTTGAAACCCTGCGCAAAATCTACCACAAAAGGATTGACCCCAACGACATCGCATTGACATCGGACTTGGGATCGCATTGGCATTGCGCTTGTATTGCGTTGGCACTGCTTTGGCATTGCTCTGGCGAGTTCCAATGCATACCGTCGCGGAAAAAATCCGATTGCACCCCCCAGGAAAATTCTCATTGAAATCTGCGACAAAAGATCGCCCCCCAGCCAGCATCCGCCGGCGGGATAACGAGCCTCAGACGAAGCGGCAATACCCACTATTCCTTTCCACGGTTCAATCATCTGATCCTCCTCCCCATCCTCTTCTTCCTCCTCCTCCTCCTATCTTCCGTCTCCCCTTTTTCCTTATGCACACGGGGCCTCAAGTGGAGGGGAGGGGGCCGAGGATAGAGAAAGAGAAAGAGAGAGAGAGAGAGAGAGAGAAAGAGAGAGGGAACCATGAGAGCAGAACGAATAACAACAGCAACTAGGAAAGAGAGAGGGAGGGAGAGGAAGACAAATAACGAGAGAGAGAGAGAGAGAGAGAAAAAACAAAACGAAGAGCGCGGGATATATGATAAGCGAGGGACGAAACCAAAAGACAAAACAGGGAGACAACGCTGGCAACGAAAGAAACACATCAAAACGTCCGAACGTCAAACCAACATGTCCCCCAGCATGGTCCTCGAAATTCCAGCCCCATGCCGCTTGGCACAGGGCTGGACTTTCGAAGACCATGCTTGGGGGGCGATGACTGCTTGAAGGCTGTCAAAACCAGAAGCATAGAGAAATAGAGGCAGAGAGAGAGAGAGAGAGCGAGAGAGACGAAGAGAGCGGAATAGATCACGAGAGAACGGACAAACGGACGAACGGAAGAAAAGGAAAGGATAACGCCGCAAAGACAGCACATCAACATTTAACTCAACAAAGACAGGCGGAGGGGCGTTCCACTCTACGAGAAGTATGTGAAAATGAGAAGGCCCGCCACAATCTCCCGGCCTTGATAATCTCCCCTCCTCCTCCACCTCTTCCCCCTCCTCCTCCTCCTCCTCCTCCTCCTCTTCCTCCTCCTCCTCCTCCTCCTCCTCCTCCTCCTCCTCCTCCTCCTATCCTCCTTCTCTCCATTTCCTTATGCACACGGGGCCGCAAGTGGAGGGGAGGGGGCCGAGGATAGAGAAAGAGAGAGAGAGGGAACCATGCGAACAGAACGAACAACAAAAACAACTAGGAAAGAAAGAGAGAGAGAGAGAGAGCGAGAGAAGGAGAGGGAGAGGAATACAGAAAAACGAGAGAGAGAGAGAGAGCGAGAGAGACGAAGAGAGCGGGATAGACGATAAGCGAGGGAAGAAAATTATCCTGGCGAAAGACCCAACCATAAGCAATTGTTGGTAACGCGTTGTGGGTGCCGCTTTCGGTGGGGCTCCATATGGGGCCACGAAGCGCTGCCTTGGGTGGGGGAACCGCATGCGGACTGCGCAACCGGGGCGGGCCTTCGGTGGAGCTCCCTATGGGGCTACGAAACGCTGCCCTGGGTGGGGGAACCGCATGCGAACTGCGCCACTGGGGCCTTCGGTGGAGCTCCCTATGGTGCCACGAAACGCTGCCCTGGGTGGGGGAAGCGCATGCGAACTGCCCACGGGGGCTTCGGTGGAGCTCCCCATGGGGCCACGAAGCGCTGCCCTGGGTGGGGGAACCGCATACGAGAGCAGCCACTGGGGCCTCCGGTGGAGCTCCCTATGGGGCCACGAACGCTGCCCTGGGTGGGGGAACCGCATGCGAAGCCCACTGGGGCCTTCGGTGGAGCTCCCTGTGGGGCCACGAAACGCTGCCTGGGCGGGGGAACGCATGCGAACAGCCATGGGGCCTTCGGTGGAGCTCCCCATGGGGCCACGAAACGCTGCCCTGGGGGGGGGAACCGCATGCGAACATTGCACTGGGCCTTCGGTGGAGCTCCCCCCATGGGGCGCATCCCTATGGGGCTACGAAGCGCTGCCCTGGGTGGGGGAACCGCATGCGAACACCCCCACTGGGGCCTTCGGTGGAGCTCCCTATGGGGCCACGAAACGCTGCCCTGGGTGGGGGAACCGCATGCGAACACCCCCACTGGGGCCTTCGGTGGAGCTACCTATGGGGCCACGAAACGCTGCCCTGGGTGGGGGAACCGCATGCGAACACCCCCACTGGGGCCTTCGGTGGAGCTCCCTATGGGGCCACGAAACGCTGCCCTGGGTGGGGGAACCGCATGCGAACACCCCCACTGGGGCCTTCGGTGGAGCTCCCTATGGGGCCACGAAACGCTGCTCCCTATGGGGATACGAAACGCTGCCCTGGGTGGGGGAACCGCATGCGAACACCCCCACTGGGGCCTTCGGTGGAGCTCCCTATGGGGCCACGAAACGCTGCCCTGGGTGGGGGAACCGCATGCGAACACCCCCACTGGGGCCTTCGGTGGAGCTCCCTATGGTGCTACGAAACGCTGCCCTGGGTGGGGGAACCGCATGCGAACACCCCCACTGGGGCCTTCGGTGGAGCTTCCCTATTGGGGCGGCTACGAAACGCTGCCCTGGGTGGGGGAACCGCATGCGAACACCCCCACTGGGGCCCTTCGGTGGTAGCTCCCTATGGGGCCACGAACGCTGCCCTGGGTGGGGAAAACGCAGCGAACACCCCCACTGGGGGGCGCCGAAGCCCCACAATGGCACGAAACGCTGCCCTGGGTGGGGGAACCGCATGCGAACACCCCCACTGGGGCCTTCGGTGGAGCTCCCTATGGGGCTACGAAACGCTGCCCTGGGTGGGGGAACAGCATGCGAACACCCCCACTGGGGCCTTCGGTGGAGCTCCCTATGGGGCCACGAAACGCTGCCCTGGGTGGGGGAACCGCATGCGAACACCCCCACTGGGGCCTTCGGTGGAGCTCCCTATGGGGCTACGAAACGCTGCCCTGGGTGGGGGAACCGCATGCGAACACCCCCACTGGGGCCTTCGGTGGAGCTCCCTATGGGGCCACGAAACGCGGCCCTGGGTGGGGGAACCGCATGCGAACACCCCCACTGGGGCCTTCGGTGGAGCTCCCTATGGGGCTACGAAACGCTGCCCTGGGTGGGGGAACCGCATGATGGCAGCCCCACTGGGGCCTTCGGTGGAGCTCCCTATGGGGCCACGAAACGCTGCCCTGGGTGGGGGAACCGCATGATGCGAGAGCAGCCCGGGGCCTTCGGTGGAGTCCCTATGGGGCCACCGAAACGTGCCCTGGGTGGGGGGGGGGGGGGGGAAACACCGCATGCGAACACCCCACTGGGCCTTCGGTGGAAGCTCCCTATGGGGCCACGAAGCGCCTGCCCCTGGGTTCTGGAGTGGGGGAACAGCATGCGGAACACCACCGCTGGGCCCCGGTGGAGCTCCCGATGGGGCCACGAAAACGCTGCCGGGTAGTGGAGACGCATGCGAACACCCCCACTGGGGCCTTCGGTGGAGCTCCCTATGGGGCTATGAAACGCTGCCCTGGGTGGGGGAACCGCATGCGAACACCCCCACTGGGGCCTTCGGTGGAGCTCCCTATGGGGCCACGAAACGCTGCCCTGGGTGGGGGAACCGCATGCGAACACCCCCACTGGGGCCTTCGGTGGAGCTCACTATGGGGCTACGAAACGCTGCCCTGGGTGGGGGAACCGCATGCGAACACCCCCACTGGGGCCTTCGGTGGAGCTCCCTATGGGGCTACGAAACGATGCCCTGGGTGGGGGAACCGCATGCGAACACACCCACTGGGGCCTTCGGTGGAGCTCCCTATGGGGCCACGAAACGCTGCCCTGGGTGGGGGAACCGCATGCGAACACCCCCACTGGGGCCTTCGGTGGAGCTCCCTATGGGGCTACGAAACGCTGCCCTGGGTGGGGGAACCGCATGCGAACACCCCCACTGGGGCCTTCGGTGGAGCTCCCTATGGGGCCACGAAACGCTGCCCTGGGTGGGGGAACCGCATGCGAACACCCCCACTGGGGCCTTCGGTGGAGCTCCCTATGGAGCCACGAAGCGCTGTAATGGGTGGGTGAAACGCAGAGAGGAGGGAGGAGAGGGAGGAGGAGGGAGGAGGAGGGGGAGGAGGAGGAGAGGAGGAGAGGAGGAGAGGAGAGGACGCGGGCACCGTCTCTTCAAAACGAGGACCCAACACCACAGGATGGTTGGGAACAAAAGAAAATACAGGGAGACAACGCTGGCAACGAAAGAAACACATCAGAACGTCCGCAGGTCGAAAGAATGCCCCCCAGCATGATCCTCGAAATTCCAACCCCATGCCGCTTGGCACAGGGCTGAATGTTCGAAGACCATGTTCGGGGGGCGATGGCTCCTCGTCCTCGTCCTCGTCCTCCTCATCATCCTCCCCCTCGTCCTCCTCTTCCTTGTCGTCCTCATACTCCTCCTGTTTCTCCTTCTCCTCCTCCTGCTCCTCCTCCTCCTCCTCCTCCACATCCCCTGCCAGCAAGGTCCTCCTCCTCCTCCGCCTCCTCCTCCGCCCACCCTCTTCCCCTCCTCCTCCTCCTCTTCCTCCTCCTCCTCCTCTTCCTCCTCCTGTTGGCTCACCTACTACAGCCACCGCTAGCTAAGCCTGCAGTTATATAGAACAACAAGGGAGATTAGTGCACAAGCGTACATGTGAACGGCCACCACATGGAGCGAGAAGGATGGCAACATGGGAAGACGGCTCAAGACTGCTGCCTCCCTCATGGTCTCCCACATGTATCGAACAAGTCGCCGACCTCTTCCCTCTCCTGTGCTTATCTCTCGTCGTGACACGATCGGAAGTTGACTTGGAGCTCAAGCTATCCTCGCACGCCGAGCCCCGAACGAACCTGAATGGGGAAGAGGCAGGGTGTTCACTATCGCGGACTCCGACCTCAGGCGATTGGGCGTCAAGGGCACAACCGACGCGATCGCGCAGCCGCATCAACGGCTAAGCGGCACAACGCGTGTCCAGCCAGGCCCGCCGCTGCTCCCCCACGGCCGCGTAGCCATCGGCCTCGGCAGCGGCAGCCTCCGTGCTCCGACCTTCTTCACCCTCCGCACCGCCGCCCACCCGCGCAGCCCCGTCTGCGACCACGGCGGCGGCGACAGCGGCGGCAGGGCAGGGATCCCCCGTAAGGGGCCCGAGCTGAGGTGCAGGAGGAGGCGGAGGAGGAGGAGGAGGAGGAGGAGGAGGAGGAGGAGGAGAAGGAGGAGGAGGAGGAGGAGGAGGAGCGGCGGCTGGGCGGTGATCCCAAAAAGGACCCGACTGCGGCGGCTCCACGTCCAGGGTCGAGAGCACGACGGCGCCGCACGCGCACCGCATGCCCACCGGCGGTGGGAGTGGCAGGCAGCACCCGGCACCTGGGACGAAAGGCTGAGCCGTGTGAAGGGGCCCTGGGACACACAAGTAAATACACACAAATAAAAAGGCCCGGCATATGTTCCCACATTTCCTGCGTTTTTGTCCCCCCCCCCACTTCCCATATTTCCACAGGACTGGACGATGAATTGTGTCTGTGTGTTCTTTCCCCTCTTGACCGTGGCACGCAGCCCCTCCCCCGCGACCCTGATCTGCTCCGAGCTGTCCACGCCGCCGGGTGCCACCACGTGGAGCGGAAGATGCCGAGACAAATCGCCCTGCTTCTCGATCTGCCCAAAAGTGGTGAGGCTCTCCTCCGAGCAGGCCGGGAGGTGCACGCAGAGCTCGAAGAGCGTCACCGAGCCGGTGTCGGTGCGCCCCGACAGCGCCATTTGCCCTCCAGTGCAGGAGGAGCGCCTTCCCCAGCGCAGCCATCGTCTACTTGAGCTCCTCCTCGACCTCAAAAAGGACCTCCATCTGAAGAAAAGCTCCGTCGGCGGCATCAGCGGCGCGTGTGCTGTCCGTACCAGCAGCCCGCTCTCGGCGGAGACGACGAGACAGCGCGGCAGCAAAGCGACTTGCCCATGCTTTGCCGCTCTCTGGCCCACATCCAATCCGCGCTGGGCAGCCTCCCGTAGTCACTGAAGCGAAACTCGTGCACATGCCAAGCTGACTTGAACAACGTGGGTTTCGCCCGCTGGTGGGCGGCTTGAGCCAAAATGGTTACGGACCTCTTCCTCCTCCTCCTCCTCCTCCTCCTCCTCCTCCTCCTCCTCCTCCTCCTCCTCCTCCTCCTCCCGCTGCCAGCAGAGCCCGCCCCCTCCTCCCCCTCCTGCTCTCCCCCCCTCCGCCTCTTCCTCCTCCTCCTCCTCCTCCTCCTCCACCTCCTTCTCTTCCTTCTCTTATTCACCCCTCCTCCTCCTCCTCCTCCTCCTCCTCCTCCTCCTTCTCCTTCTCCTCCCACCTCCTCCCCTCAGTAGGGGGAGTAGGGGGAAAAGGTCCCAAAGGACTGATCGGAGGGAAAGCGCGTCGGGAGAATGCGGGCCACCCAGCTTCGCGCATATCGCGCCCCGCCACTGCCTTCCTGGAATCCTCGCCGTCGCTCCGACGTCCGTTCTCCGTACATGCATCGGTTTCGCGCGCTGGTGTCGCACGACGATTCAAGATGCTCCTCGATGGCCCTTGCCGAGAAACAGTGCACACGTCCGAAGGATCCTAGGGGAATCACGTCATCGCCACGCTCCCCAGGAGAAGGGCACCACGCTCTGGCCCGGGCCGCGCCGCGCGCTCCAGGATCACCTGTTGCGCCCTCGCGGGCGCAGCAAGGAATATAACGTATAGATTCGGACCCAGGCCAGAAGAACATCCTTCAATAATCTTAGACTCTACATCGGCCAAAACACACAGAACAGCCGAGGGTACCCCCTCCCCAGGCTGCACAGTAACATCCAAACAATCACCAATAACAATAGGGTACCCTCGCCGAACCGAAATTGATCTTATACCTTGGTCTGACCGTACCCACTCTCCAGGCGGAATTGCACAACGCTGTCCGCTCGAATAGTTTGATGTGTGGCCAGCAATTCTCATTGGATGGTCCTCTCGCGCTCTGCATGCTACAGCACGTATCGCGTCGAAAACCAGACGCATTCCGTGCATACCCACTCTCCAAATGGATTTGTACAACGCTGTCCGTTTGCAAAATTTGGCGTGTGGCCCGCAACCGTCAATGGATGGCCCTCTCGCACCCTGCATGCTATTTATAGCGCGCTTCGCGTCGAAAATCGGACGTATTCAGTTCATGCCGTGCATCTGGTCTGACTGCATTGTGGCCTGATCTGTGACATGCTCGCACATGTGTTCGTGCAGTGGCATGATGAAAGTGCGTGCGGCGAGGAATCCAGCACCGATCTTCGTCTTCATGTGCACCCCTCCGTCTCGATCCTGCAGGTTCCCGAGCGGCGTGGTCGGGGGAAGAGGAGGCAGGGGGGCGGAAAACGTGGACAAGCTGGCCAGCCATGAAAGAAGAGTTGAAAGGGCCTCACAAACACACAGACACACACACACACACACACACAGAAATACACGAGATTAGACACGCATCCCAGGATTCGTCCGGACTCTTGTTCCATAGCTTCTGGGTTTTCGTCTCCACCCCCCCCAGCTGCCCATGCTCTCCCATATTTTTTCCTGGGAGCCGACGAAGAGGAGGAGGAGGAGGAGGAGGAGGAGGAGGAGGAGGAGGAGGAGGAGGAGGAGGGAGGAGGAGAGAGGAGGAGGAGGAGGAGGAGGGAGGAGGAGAGGAGGAGGAGGAGGAGGAGGAGGAGGAGGAGGAGGAGGAGGAGGAGGGAGGAGGAGGAGGCAGGAGGAGGAGGGAGGAGGGAGGAGGGAGGAGGAGGGAGGAGGAGGATGTTGTAGGCTTTTCCCATGTTGCATGTGTGTGTGTGTGTGTTTCATCCCCTCCCGAGGATCGCGCGCGCGCACGCGGGCCTCACCGCCCTCCACTGCCACCCACACGGGGCTGACGGGCCCCTGCAGGGGCGCGCCCGCGGGGCGCGGCGCGCGGCGCGCCGCCTGGGCGCGCCGCGGGGCAGGGGTCCCCCCGCAACGAGAGGATCGCGACGTCGACTGCGACCACGAGCAAGACCTCCTCCTGCTCCTCCTCCTTCCTTCTCCTCCTCCTCCTCCTGTTCCTCCTCCTCTTCCTCCTCCTTTCCCTCCTCCTTTCCCTCCTCCCCCTCCTCCTCCTCCTCCTCCTCCTCCTCCTCATCCTCCTCCTCCTCTTTCTCCTCCTCTTTCTCCGGGAACGTTGGGAAAAGGACGGCACTGATAACGGGAAAGGCAGAGACGAGCAGTGGCGGTGCGACGTGGCCAGGAGATGCAGGCCCCGGAGCCTCCGTACTCTGAAGATCGTGACCAAGGACGGCACGCGTGCGATGCAACTGCTCGGCCGACTGCAGCAGCTGGCCCTGCGCCACAACGGATGGGCCCTGGACCTCCCGGAAAGGCAGGCACCATGCCAACTAGGAAGAACCTCGCCGACGGGGCGGGGAGAGGAGGCCGCACTGGCCACACTGGCCACACATGCGCTCGCCTGACCTGTGTCGTGCCCTGCCATGCCCTGCCCTGCCCCGCTCCTCCCCGGCTCGCCACAGAGCGTGGCGCCCGCACCAGCCGCGGCCAGCTGCAGCCATCGCCGAGGGCGGGCATGGCCATGTTGGGGCCCAGCGGCTTGCCTGCAGGGAGACTGCCAGCCCTCTCCCTTAGAGGGAATCGACTATGCACATACACCGATTCTGGCCAGGCCCAACCCTGAGCCCAGGATCGGTGCATACGCCCTCTTACCTTCGCCAGGAAGGTATATGCACCGATCCTGGGTCAAGGATGGGCGTTGTCAGGATCGGTGCATGTGCATAGTTCTCTTCGCCCGGCAAATTGAGTGTCAACGTTTATACTGGAAGCTACGGAGCGGTGCGCGGTTGCCGCGAGCTGTTGACGTGCCAAGTATCGCTGGGTTTTCACTATTGCAACCGAGTCGGCGAAGATGAAGTCGGGGAACCACTGACCATGCCACCTGCTCTAGACCAATAACTTAGTAACAACCCGTTCAATCAAACTATACACACATATATATATATATACGTATATATATCCACTTGTACCCGGTAGGTGAGATGGACGAGCACCAGCGGGGCCTCGGAGACTCCAAATCCACCCGCCACCCGTGGCTTCCAAGATGCCCTCTAAGATGGTTCAAGAAGAGCTCCATCACGCCAGTGAGGCTTCTAGGACAACCAATGTGAGATGGTCACAAGACTTTGGGTGACCCAAAAGAAGGTCCAGCTGAAAGGGGGTGGTGCAATAGATGTTGGGCAATTGTATTGCAAATGCACTGCGCCAAAGAAGTGTATCGCATTGTATTACAAGTAATGCACTGCGCGCAAAAATCAAGAAATGCATCTGCGCCCTGGAACGAATTGCACGCCCCAAATGTATAACAAACCGACACATATATTGCACCAGTTCTATTGCACCACCTCCTTGTCGCTGGACCCCCTTTTGGTTCATCCCGAAAGACGGCCCAAGAGCCCCCCAAGACACCAGGAGACACCCCAAGATGACCCGAAGAGAGGCGCAAAGAGGGCTTCGAGATAAAAACGTAGTTAACCGGCTGTCTTATGGTGTGCTTCTCCCTCTAAGCCCAAGGCGATCGGCCTACACGTCGGCAAAGGAGCAGGAGGAGAAGGAGGAGGAGGAGTAGAACGAAGAGGAATATGGCGAGGAGGAGGAGGAGGCGGAGGAGGCCGGTCTTGCGGCCGACGGGGTGGTGGAGCGGAGGGGCCCCGCCGTTCCGGCAAGTAGGCCCCTCCCTGGAAGAATTCTCCTGCATAATTTCCAGAGGCCCCTGGTCTTAGAATCTGGACCCCCCAAAAGAGCCCCAAGTGGGGCCCAAGAGTGCCTCAAGCGGCTCCGTGAGGGCCCCACGAGGGACCCGAGATGGCTCCGAGAGAACACTTCCAGGGCGTCTTTTTGCACTGCATGCTTCTACACTTCCCTGATCAGGGCAGCTCGCCCGCCGATGTGCTTCTGGATGGGCTGGTGGGGATACTTTTTTTGTCAGCGGCCGCGGGCGGACGCGCCGGCGGCGAGTCAGGTCAAAACGGGCTACGCAGAGACCAACTAGGCAGAGGAAACGCGGGAAAAACAAACAGAGCAACGCGCGATGCGACGGCCAAGCGCGGCCGAGGCCTCAGATGGGTGGCTGAGGGGACTGAGGCTGAGGGGGACTGTCTGGTGGGGATGCGCGAAACGCCAAGATCTTCCAAAGACCCATGATCTTAGAACCTTGGTGATATCTCGGCCCTCGCCCAATGGCGGCCGCAATGTTCGCCATGGCGCCGTTCTCGGCACAGCTGTGCAGGGAACCGGCAGCCCCGTGCTGCCTCCTCCTCCTCTTCCTCCTCCTCCTCCTCCTCGTCCTCCTCCTCCTCCTCCTCTTCCTCCTCCTCCTCGGACTACAGATCCGTGCCAGATCCGCGAATCGGGCAAAACATATTCCGAAACAGGCGGCCACTGCCGCCCGATCCGGCGACGAAACGCGCGCCGACTCTCCACGGAGACGGGGCCCCTCGCAGACCTCACCCATTGCTCTGCGATCCCCTCCGCCTCCTTTTCCTCCCTCCTCCTGCTCCTCCCCCCCACCCTCCCTCCTGCTCCTGCCCCACCCCCCCACCTCCTGCTCCTCCCCCTCCCCTTCCTCCTCCTCCTGCTCCTCCCCCCTCCTGCTCCTCCCTCCTCATCCTCCCGGCGAGCGAGCCAGAGGAGCCGCAACGCCGGAGCCTGGGGCGCCTCCGCGCTGCGAGCTGCTGGTGCTGCAGAAGGGCGTCGGCGCGGGGTCCTTCGGGCCTCCTCCGCCTCCTGCACACCTCCCCCTTCCTCCTGGCTCTCAGTCTGCTGCGTCCCTCCTCTTCCTACTCCCTCCATCGCTCCATCCCTCCCTCCTCCTCCTCCTCCTCCTCCTCCTCCTCCTCCTCCTCCTCCTCCTCCTCCTCCTCCTCCTCCTCCTCCTCCTCCTCCCTCTCTCCCGCCCTCCCTCCCAAGAGTTGCTCTTACCGTCAGAGGCGGGAGGCGGGGCGTTCGCGGGCGGGTTGCGGGGCGGGGCGACTCACAACAGCAAGATTATAAATTCCGCCCCGCGGAGCCCAACTTCAGCCACGCACCCAGGGTTAGGTCGGGCATGTCCCCCTACAGGCGGATCTTGACCAAACAATTGAAAGCATCAACAACTATTCAAAACTTACAAAACAAAATACTCAAAACATCGTCCCCCGACCATTGTTTAACAATTTTTGTAGATTCCTCCTGTAGAGGGACACGCCCGACTTACACCCAGGGGCAGGGTAAAGCCGCTCGGCCACCTCACTCTGATGCGTACACAGCGCATGCCCGATCAAAGGCCGGCGGCTCGTCGGGGTCGGGTCGGCGGAGGGCGGAGGCCGCGATCGTGTCCAGTAGTGTCGAGGCGCCGGTCGAAGTGGAGGAAGACTTCGGTCGAGGGGCGGCTGGGCTGGGCTGGAGCGGCCGCGACGCTGGCGGCTGGAGGAGCTGCGATGGCCGCGGCTCCGTCGGCCAGAGGAGCGGCGGCGCATGCGGCGCTAACGGCACGGAGGGCCGCGGCAACGACGGCGCAGGCGGCTGGAACTCCAGCGGTTCTCGGGGTGGTACTCAAACAAATCAGTCGCGTGGGTGCTCTTGAGCAGGGACCGGCCGTCCTGGCATTCCTATAGGCCTACCACGGAATGTTCTGAGAACCCAAAACGGTCTTAAGAACAAACCAAATGTTCTTATAACACAAGCCCGATGTGCTGAGACAAGGCAGGTCCCAACCAGAAATGCTCCAAGAACGTTTCGCGCAGACCACAAAAGGTTCTTAGAATATTGTTTGCGTCTGCTTGATGCTTTGAAGGTGAGGCTCAGAGAGCCATCGCGGCCGAGCGGCAATACTGCGCTGCCGCTGAGGCCGAGCAGCGCGGAGGCGGGTCCCTCGTGCGCATCGGGAGCGGCGGCAAGAGGCCGCGGCGGAGAGCCGGCCGAAGACCTGGCCAAGGTGAAGCGGCACATGAGGAACCGCCCTCCGAACGAGACAGAAGAAGAGAGAAAGAGAGAGAGAGAGAGAGAGATAGAGAAAGAGAGAGAGAGAGAGAACGAGACAGAGGAGCCCACGAGGCGCTCTGCAAGCCTCCCGAATACCCGCCGTCGGTCGGAAGAGGTAAGCTTGGGTCGGGCATGCCCCCCGACGGGCGGATTTTGAACGAAACATGAAAAATAGTAAAGAAGACTCCGCACATTACAAACAGCATTTAACAAAAAAACGTCCCCACACTATTTTTCCGAACCGCCCTGTGTTGTTGGGTCCTCGTTTTGAAAAGACGGTCCCCGCGTTCCCTCCTTCCTTCCTTCTTTCCTTTTTTCTTCCTTCCTTCCTCCTCCTCCTCCCCGTCCCCCTCCTCCTCCTCCTCCTCCTCCTCCTCCTCCTCCTCCTCCTCCTCCTCCTCCTCCTCCTCCTCCCCCCGTTCCTCCCTCATTTCGTGGCCCCATAGGGAACCCCACCGAAGGCTCCAGTGGGACCGCCCGCACGCGTCATCCACCACCCAGTACAACGCTTCGTGGCCCCATGGGGAGCTCCACCGAAGGCTCCACTGGGACCGCCCGCATGCGTCATCCCCACCCAGTGCAGCGCTTCGTGGCCCCATAGACGGCTCCACCGAAGGCTCCAGTGGGACCGCCCGCATGCGTCATCCACCACCCAATACAGCGCTTCGTGGCCCCATCAGGGGGCTCCACCGACGGCCCCAGTGGGACCGCCCGCATGCGTCATCCACCACCCAGTACAGCGTTTCGTGCCCCCACAAGGAGCTCCACGTAAGGTCTTCGTGGCGGAACTCGCATGGCGGCCAAGTGCCGGAGTTCGCATGGCGGCGACTTTCGATTTCCGATGCTTTTCGACGTAATCAACGTACTGAGGCCGCTTTCGGGCCGCGCATCCCCGGTGGGAGCCAGCGTGCTCGCTCTCTTTGTTCCGCGAAATGGACGGCCCGCGCGCGTCGCCGGGCCCCCTTCGGGGCGACCAACGCGCGTCGCGGGGACTCCGTGCGGCGCCGCGCCCGCAGACTTGGACGTGGGCGCGCACGGGCAAAGAGGGAGAAGAATTATCCTGGCGAAGGACCCAACCATACGCAATTGTGAATACCGCAATTGTGAATATCTTCTTCGGTGTCCCTATGGGGCCACGAAACGTGTGAGGGGTGTGCCGAAATGGATGCGCGGGACGCGCGCGGGCACACCCACTAGGACCTTCGGTGGAGCTCCGTATGGGGCCACGAAACGTGTGAGGGGTGTGCCGAAATGGGTGTGCGGGACGCATGCGGGCACACCCACTGGGACCTTCGGTGGAGCCCCCTACGGGGCCACGAAACGTGTGAGGGGTGTGCCGAAATGAATGTGCGGGGCGCATGCGGGCACACCCACTGGGGCCTTCGGTGGAGCTCCCTATGGGGCCACGAAACATGTGAAGAGCATGCCGAAATGGGTGTGCGGGACGCATGCTGGCACACCCACTGGGACTTTCGGCGGAGCTCCCTATGGGGCCACGAAACGCGTGAGGGGTGTGCTGGATTGGGTGTGCGGGACGCATGCGGGCGGCAGCACTGATCCACTTCGGTGGAGCTCCCTATGGGGCCACGAAGCGTGTGAGGGGTGTGCCGAAATAAATATGCGGGACGCATGCGGGCACACCCACTGGGACCTTCGGCGGAGCTCCCTATGGGGCCACGAAACGTGTGAGGGGTGTGCCGAATTGGGTGTGCGCGACGCATGCGAGCAAAAACACTGGGGCCTTCGGTGGAGTCCCCTATGGGGCCACGAAACGTGTGAGGGGTGTGCCGAATTGGGTGTGCGTGACGCATGCGGGCGGCAGCACTGGGGCCTTCGGCGGAGCTCCCTATGGGGCCACGAAACGTGTGAGGGGTGTGCCGAATTGGGTGTGCGTGACGCATGCGGGCGGCAGCACTGGGGCCTTCGGCGGAGCTCCCTATGGGGCCACGAGACGTGTGAGGGGTGTGCCGAATTGCGTGTACGTGACGCATGCGGGCGGCAGCACTGGGGCCTTTCGGAGGAACTCCCTATGGGGCCACGAAACGTGTGAGGGGTGTGCCGAATTGGGCGTGCGTGACGCACGCGGGCGGCAGCACTGGGGCCTTTCGGAGGAACTCCCTATGGGGCCACGAAGCGTGTGAGGGGTGTGCCGAATTGGGTGGGCGTGACGCATGCGAGCAAAAACACTGGGGCCTTCGGTGGAGTCCCCTATGGGGCCACGAAACGTGTGAGGGGTGTGCCGAAATAAATATGCGGGACGCATGCGGGCACACCCACTGGGACCTTCGGCGGAGCTCCCTATGGGGCCACGAAACGTGTGAGGGGTGTGCCGAATTGGGTGTGCGCGACGCATGCGAGCAAAAACACTGGGGCCTTCGGTGGAGTCCCCTATGGGGCCACGAAACGTGTGAGGGGTGTGCCGAATTGGGTGTGCGTGACGCATGCGGGCGGCAGCACTGGGGCCTTCGGCGGAGTCCCTGCCGAAATGGTGTGCGCGGACGCATGCGAGCGGTGACTGGTGTGCCTTCGGTGCGGGCGGCAGGAGGCCTCGGCGGAGCTTCTATGGGGCCACGAAACGGTGAGGCGTGTGAAGGTGTGCGGACGCGAAATGGGTGTGGCTGACGCATGCGGCCTTCGGCGGAGCTCCCATGGGGCCACGAACGCGGAGGGGTGGCCGATTGGGTGTGCGAAGTCGGGCCCCAGCCTGGGGCCTTCGGCGGCGCTCCCTTTGGCCCGAATTGGGTGTGGGTATGCGGGGGAAGCAATGGGGCATTCGGCGGAGCTCCTAGGGCCACGAAGTGTGAGGGGTGTGCCGAAATTGGGTGTGGGTGACGCATGCGGGCGGCAGCACTGGGGCCTTCGGTGGAGCTCCCTATGGGGCCACGAAACGTGTGAGGGGTGTGCCGAATTGGGTGTGCGGTGACGCATGCGGGCGGCAGCACTGGGGCCTTCGGCGGAGCTCCCTATGGGGCCACGAAACGTGTGAGGGGTGTGCCGAATTGGGTGTGCGTGACGCATGCGGGCGGCAGCACTGGGGCCTTCGGCGGGGCTCCCTATGGGGCCACGAAACGTGTGAGGGGTGTGCCGAATTGGGTGTGCGTGACGCATGCGGGCGGCGGGCACTGGGCCCTTCGGCGGAGCTCCCTATGGGGCCACGAAACGTGTGAGGGGTGTGCCGAATTGGGCGTGCGTGAACGCATGCGGGGGCAGCACTTCGGCGGAGCTCTATGGAGCCACGAAAATGTGAGGGTGTGTCGACTTGGGTGTGGGTGGCGCATGCGGGCGGCAGCACTGGGGCCTTCGGCGGAGCTCCTATGGGGCCACGAAACGCGTGAGGGGTGTGCCGAATTGGGTGTGGGTGACGCATGCGGGCGGCAGCACTGGGGCCTTCGGCGGAGCTCCTATGGGGCCACGAAACGTGTGAGGGGTGTGCCGAATTGGGTGTGGGTGACGCATGCGGGCGGCAGCACTGGGGCCTTCGGCGGAGCTCCTATAGGGCCTCGAAACGTGTGAGGGGTGTGCCGAATTGGGTGTGGGTGGCGCATGCGGGCGGCAGCACTGGGGCCTTCGGCGGAGCTCCTATGGGGCCACGAAACATGTGAGGGGTGTGCCGAATTGGGTGTGGGTGACGCATGCGGGCGGCAGCACTGGGGCCTTCGGCGGAGCTCCGATGGGGCCACGAAACGTGTGAGGGGTGTGCCGAAACGGAGGATATTGACGATGATGATGGTGGGAGGAGGGAGG